ACGAATCGGAAGTTGAAGAATTGAAAGGGTATCCATAGTTGCCAATTTGCAAGAACCGCAGAAGCCCATACCTGAAAGTCCAACATTTCAACATGACACTCTTAAATACTCCACACTAAAAAGCACCCGGGCTACGTTATATATTTGAGTCCAGTTATTTTGACGCCAAATGCAAGTGTCATATTATGACACCGCCCTTTTGAAGCCCCTGCGATGCTTCATTTGTGGCCCAAAGTCCTCCCCTAAATTGCCATTAAACTACCATGAATCAGGATTACTGTAGCTAAATGGCGCATTGGGGTGGTGGGTGCTTGATATAAATTCCTTTCATGATTTTTTTTTCTTTGCCTTCAAAAAATATTATAAGGTGAAGAGAAAAAAATCATCACAAAGCACCTGTTGAAGTTTTGGAATCACTTGTGATGGCTGTCCCTCCAGTGTGACCAGTGTAGATAAGAAAACTCCAATAAAAACTGGAGCAAAAACTAACTGCATTTGACCAGAAGAAGCTCACTAATCACACTATAATATACAGTACTTCATATAAAAACTAAAAAACAAAAAAAAACAAAAGAAATGGTAACATTGAAGAACTTGAAGAAAACCTGATCAAGTAACAGGCGCAAGACAGCCCCAGATGCTCCAGTAGTTGTAACCAATCTACTCAAGTAGAGGTACCTAAATTGGAAGTAAAAGAGAACACACAAAATATTAGCACCAATGAATTTAGCAATTACACAATAAAGAACAAAACAGCGTCTATGTTTGGGACCTCAAAATAGGTTGGGAAACTGGAAATATAATACTCCGAAAGTTAGATGGGAAGATTGTGAGTTGTGACTGGAAGCACATTATGAATTTATGATTATGAGTGCCCTTTGCAGGAAAATCAAAACCATGTTTTTAAAGCTTATTTAAGAAAGCTGCAGAGTGGTGCTTTAAAAAAACACTAAAAGTGCTCAAATCATGAAAGTTCTTATACCATAAGTTAACACAAGCAGTGCCACAGTGCAAGGTATGAATTTTGAATTAAAGATTCTACACGTGCTTTCATTGGTTTAGAAATAAATAAAAGAAAAAGATGAGAGCTAAAAGCTCATATGTAACATACGGAGTATGATGCACAAAATATATATGAACCATAGACACGACTTTGCAAAATATATATGTATTACCAAAAGTGCAATGACGGACCAACCAAGACCAGACCCAACAATGTGAAACGAAATGTTCTCATTCCGTCAAAAGGCGGGACTTGATCACTCCAAAGCTGAGAATAACAGGCAAAAATATATTAAATGAGCTATACACACACACACACACACACACACACACACACACCACATTTTCAATTGATGCACATGTAACTTTTTAATTAATGCCATGAAGGTTGTGAAAAATCATGACTGAGAAAAGCAAGAAAACCCCTTCTATCACCCAAAAAAAGTGCAGAAACAAAACAGTAATAATTGACAAATTATTATTTATGGGAATTACAAATGAACAGCATTTCTCCTGAATAAAAAAATATACATTGCCTGTAAATTTCCAAAAAAATATTTACTTGGCAGATCAAATCTCCAATACAAGTCAATAACGCCGATGTGATAGCTTTTGTGCACACGGGGTACTTCTCAAGAAGAGTAAAATACCTGCCAAAAATATAGCATCAGACATCAGTGCTGCATTTCTATAATCTTTTACTTCAAAGCTCAAACTAACAAGTTCAAACCAACCAATGAGTGAAGAAATTTTGGCCAAAATGTTTTAGT